CCTTCTGATTAATACTATGATGAGTTACGGATTAAGCCTTATTGACTAGACATGTGGAAGTATGGTAATGCTTTGTAACTGAAGCCCAAATACCGGTCCTTACATTGGCCAAAGTGAGACTATCAAAACCATGCACCCCGAGCCTAGCCAGAAACAGCTCCCAAAATTACCAAATGTTCTAGAGTTCTCGCTAGGCACTACTGCCAACAATTCTAGAGTTACCAAGAGTGGTACGAACCAACTTCCAGAGTTTATACTTGTCAAACATCAGCGAGTTTCTATTAGCGGGGCTAAGAATATACCTATACCTAATGAATACCAGTGAGTACCAACCTATAGAGTACTCATTAGTGGGGTTTTATTTACCTAGGGTTGTCAAAGTGATAATATAACAATGACAAGTAATAAGGCTACAATAAGGAATAGTAGGCATGGCTAAGTAAAACAGTTAATATGCAAGAATATATAAAAAGTAATGCAATAATTTAAGCATCACTATTCTAGAAACATTGGTTGAACAATATGCTCAAGGGATGATGTGACTTGCCTTTCTCGCTTTCCAAAATTTTAGCCTCAACCTCCAAGAAGAGCGGTTTCTCCAAAGTTACAGTGTATACACGACATATACAAAGGCAAAAGGCTTTACTCTACGAAAGTCCACATAAACAGGAAGAACAAAGCACATAAATAGGTTATTGACATCATAAGGAAAAACTAGAGACATGATTGTGTTGCTTCCGAGTTTGAATGGTCAAGATATGACCATTTGAAGTTTATATGTGTGTTTAGGTGAATACTTGTGAATTCTTGATTTAATTTTACAAAGAAAAACATGCTTATTGGACCAATGCGAGGGAGATGGCATGAACCAAGTGCACCAACGGTGGGGTCCACGTGTCAGCCTGATAGACCATGGTGAATTGGGTGCACCAAAATGGCGACCGAGTTAAAGGTGCTGGCCCCACTCGTGAACCCCCATGGGTGTCCACGTGTGGGCCCCACATGACGTGCCTGAATGCGACAACCATGGCAAGGAAACAACGGCGCGATGGTGAAAGAAGGCGACGAGGCCCCGTGGCTCACCATGGTGAATTGGTGAAGAGGAGGCGACGAAGGACGATGACCGGTGAAGACTTGGCAATGGAGGTCTTGAGGTGGATGGGGTGGCGGAGTTTCTGTGGGCTCCGGGCTCGACGAGGCATGGACAAGGCGCAGGACGATGTGGCGAAGATAATGGTGGTTATAGAGGCAAGAGGAGTTCCCGGCTAGCGTCGAGGCTTGGCGGTGATGGTGTGGGCACGGGAGAGAGGACGAGAAGCTTTGTCGAAGAACAAAAAAGATAGAGAATGAGAAAAATGTGGCCTCCCATAAAAAGGGTTTGGTGAAGGGGAATGGGTGCAGAAATCACCACCGTAATCAATGGTGTTGATGAGACTTCAGAAAGTAAACCGCGTTTGAACACTGGATTGAGACCAATTGAAATAAAACATTAATCTTGGTGGTACGGTTTGTTACTAATCATTTCCACAAGCGTTGGAGAATATTTGCATGCAGGTAATTATGGATGAAAATGCACTCGCCAAGCAAAGGAAAGCACCTCCAACGGATCAGACACGAGTACACGGATTGAAGGGTCCACAAGCTGACCAAATCACCTCAAAATGGGCCAACCACTTTGTATCCACACCAGGGCCCAAGGAACATCATCCTAGACAAAGGGGAGGAAGAAAGGAGGCAAAGGAGGATCAGCCAAACCATAGTATGTCTGAGTTCTCTCCCGGGAGGTTCCGGAGGAGTGTTGGAGATGTTGGCATTCTCTTCATGGGAGTCCCGTAGGAGTACTGGAGATGCCAGCACTCTCTCCTATCTTGCACCTTGATGGATGTTTCTTTTATATAGGTAAGTATTCGTGATTTCCTTTGGTATTTACTTTTCTTATTTATGTAAGATATATTCTCATCATTGTGGGTTCATTGTTTTACTTAGGTAGAGTAACTTAATCATCTATAAGTTTGGAGTACCTTAATCCTCTATAAGCGTAGAGTACCTTAGCATAGTAATCAATAGCATAGGCGTTGCGTCTAGCCTAGAGGTTACCTTTGTTTTTTGTGTGCTCCATGGGTTGTAGAGGTAGGCGGCAGGTGGTGACAGTGTGTCCGTCCTTTGTAATCCTCCACGTTCGGGTAGATCATAGAGCAGTAGGCTAGAGTCTCCTTGGTAGACCAAGGTTAAGCCGATGCTCGAAGCAATTGATAGAGTTTTACGTTAACTTAAATTAAGATAATTAATCCATAGGAATCCTCTCTATCTGAAGCTTTCCATTAGTTGTTGTTCTTGGTTGAATCATCTTTTTTAGATTATACACACACGTTCCATTTGATTCCATACCCTTGGAACACTCTAAGGCGAAGCGCTTGCGAACTCCCACTTCTTCAAAGCCATAACTCCTGTAGGCACATGGATTCTTTCGTAATGCCGAGCAAAATGGCCCAAGGTGATAGGTTTTCCGGCAGGCTAGGTGGCTAGGAAATGATACCACTAACCATTATGATGTAGGTCCTTCTCTTCATCATAGCAATGGAAAGTCTCCAACTTCTGGTTGACCGCATGCAACCAATCCAACACATCTGTTTGGTAGGTGGTGCTAGGCAAAGTGGGCAGGCAGATGCTAAGGAATTCTATGAGCTTGGACTGGGATGGTGGGGGGTAGCGGTGGAGGTGGAGGTGGTGCAGCATACTGGGGTGGGTTATGTATGTGGTAGAGAGAAGCTACAATCATGTTTGCTTTCTGCCCGAGGATTCGGATGAGGATGGGGTTGTCATTGTGAGAAGAGGGAGGCAGTGGCGGTGGCGGTGGCAGTGGCAGTGGGGGTGGCATGGTGCCCTGGTTGGTGCATACTAGTTGGTTGTTGTCATTTGTACTTGCACTCCTCCTGGTGTTGACCATCCGAAGCATCCTACGGTATACAAAATAGAAGAAAAGAGATCAACACTAAGTTCCATCATCTAACTCAAATTATTTAAAGTTCTTATTGTAATGGTGTTGGTATTAAAGATTCAAGTTCTTAAGCACAAAAAGAGAACAAGACTCAAACGAGTGATATAGTCATACCACAACAGACCGGTATAAACTATTCCCACAAGCACGATTTTGCAAGAAGATAAACAAAGAAAAACACACGACTAATAGCTATGCGATAGTAGGTAAGCGGTGCCATCCTCACAGGGAACGAAGGACTCCGGCTATGCGTGATGTGGCTCCAAGAAGCAAGACAAAGCAAGGGAATAAAGGTTGAGCTCAGGTCTGGAGATACTCTTGCGGGCAATGATCTTCGGGCTATGGCCGACGTGGTGTGGCTTGGTGCAACAAATCAACCCTGGAAAATCTTGAGCTAGCGCTCTAGCTCCTCCATGGCATCTAACTCCTTCTTGAGCTACAAGTTCTCCCACTTTAGCTCCAAAATCTTCATGTTGTTCTCCACAAGACTGCTGCGCACAAACTGGTGGAAGTTGATGCAGGCCGAGTCATACACCTTCATCGTACGCGCCAGATGTATGATGGTGGTTTCGTCCTCCCTGTCAGCGCTCCTGAAGTTGGTGTAGTCCCTTGATCCAACACGATGATGGTGACAGAGGAACTGTGAGTGCTACAGCTCGTCCAGGTAGTGCTGGTGAAGCATGTCGATGGCTACAAGAGCAACATTCTGGTAGGCCACCGACAAGATGTGTCCTCCTACGGTGACGGTCATCGAAGTCTTGGCAAAAGATTTGGTGAGAATCACTGCAGTGGACTCCCAAGTAGCATGGGAGAGTCGTCGTCACCATCAGTAGGAGGCAGCTACCTACCGTGGTAGGCCATCTCATGAGGGTAGCCAAGAGTAGCACACATGCTACACAACTGCAGAGTGAAGAATGTCAGCTCCAGACCACGGAGGTTCAGGTGGCTAGGCTTGCATAACACATTTCAGCAATGGTCGTTAAGCCTCAAGATCCCTCTGCCTTAGCAGTAGGTGGGTGCATTTTAAACTTACATGTAGACAAATATGGCATGCTCAAAGCTTGGTGTGAGGAGAGAGAAGCCACTAGGGACTATGACGAAATTCACCGTCGGTCTTGCTCCGTCAAAGATGGTCGAGTCGGTGGGGCGATTGCATGGCGGATCAGGTATTAAGGTCAATCAACCATGACTCTTGTGGGCTCTTTGGCTTTAGCTATATTGGGAGGAAACATCACTCCACTGGAATTGTGAGGAAACAATAAGGGAATAGAACGGGAACTCACCAGCTTCAGCTCTCTCCCTCCCTCTTCTCCCTTGCCCCCTACCTCATTTCCGCTTTGCCTCCATCACCAACACCGACCGCCGCCCGTTGTCGATGTTGTTACTCCGGCGGCAACTGCAGGTCGATCTGTTGCTCAGTACTAGTCCACTGTCTCCCTAGCCATCCCTGTAAAGATGGGGAACCCTATCGCTTCCCCCTCCTCAGCACACACCCTTCTCCTCAACCCCACACCAAACCCTAACCATACACCAGTGGCTTTTGTGGGAAGGTGTTCGTGCGTGCACGGGGCACACGCGTTTGTGCATGAGCCTCCGCAGAGTAGGCAACAATATAAGATCCATTAGTTTTAATTTATTTTCTACTCCCTCCGTTTTAAAATAAATCAACTTTTGTACTTTAATTTAGATATACCCTATGTCCAGATTTATGTGCAAATTTTGATTTATTTTGGGACAATGGAGTAGGATTTATTATAACGTAGATCTAGCTTGCTTTGTCCTGAACTGAATAGGCTGAACGTGCAAATTGGGATAGATTACTTTGACCTCGATCGCGTCCTGCAGGTCATGGGTCTGAACGTATTTTAATTATCAGCTACTAGCTGGTCGTACGTTTAGGCAGTTAATTACCATGCTCGTGCCTCGAACGCGAGGAGCTTTACATATATTTTTTTTCTAGATAAAATCTCAAAAGAGGGCAGTGAGTTCCTGCTTATTACTTAATAAAGAGAGAGTTTCCCGGGGAAAAAAATAACAAAGAGAGTAGGCTCAGTTTATTGTGAAAACCAGATCCAAAAACCTCACTCTTGCTCCATTATATATGTGTGTACTGTCTATACATTCTCTTGCTCCATTGCAAATGACCTCACTCTTTTGAGGACGAACTAACAATGGCTTATGGGCTTGATCACTCTGAGTGGCTGGAAGTTAAATATATCAACAACCATGCTCTGTTTGTAGGGTACCTGTCGATGGCCGTCAAAGGGGTGGGCTTCTTGGTGGGTTTATGGACCACCGTTGTTCTTCTTGGTGGCTTCGTCTCTATGCTTGAGAAGAAGGATTTCTGGAGTCTCACCATCATCACACTCGTCCAAACAGCAGGGTTAGACTGCTTACTTTCAATATATATATTTATTTATTTATTTTGAAGCTTTCCTGCTTAGTAATGTTCTTCGCCAAACCTGTGTGGCTTTTTATTTGACTCTTTTGGTCTTTCCCTATAATAAACAAATCTACTTTTGGAACAAAGGATTTTCAGTAGTTATCCTTCGTTCCTCTGGAGGAATTTCTACTACTGTTGATGTTCATTTCTGGGGGAGGAATGCTGCGGTCGAATTTCGTTGGGAGACTGTAGCATTAGTGGAATTCCATAGGAAAGGAAGCATACACTCTGTCACTCATCCTACCTCATGTTTCACTACGTGTTTATGCTGCGTAGGATTTTTAGAGGAAAGGCTAGCTATACGCGCTGTTTTTTTTTTCCGAAAGCATAAGCATCTTACAGGTTTATTGCTGGGAACTCCAGCTAGTTTGCCTATATACTAGCATTGGTAAACAGACATCTGCTAGGGACATACTAACATCTCTATATCTGCCAAGCTAAACGACCTTCTTCCATAGAGAGTTCTTGAGAAGCTCAGAGCAAGCAAACTCCTTTCCCACAGCAACTGCAAGCTCAGAGCTACATGATTGACATCGCAAAAGACCTGACTAATACTAAGGCCTTGTTTAGTTCCCAAAATTTTTTTCCCAAAAATATTACATCAAATTTTTAGACACATGCATGGAGCATTAAATATAGATAAAATAAAAAACTAATTGTACAGTTTGCATGGAAATCACGAGACGAATCTTTTGATCCTAATTAGTCTATAATTAGCCATAAGTGGTACAGTAACCCACATGTACTAACGACGGATTAATTAGGCTTATTAAATTTTCTATAATTTTTCTTGGGTTAAAAATGCTATTACTTTTTCTTTAAACTTAGTCAAACTTAAAGCAGTTTGACTTTAAACAAAGTCAAAACATCTTATAACCTGAAATGGAGGGAGTATTATATATCTTCATATTAAACTAATACTCCCTCCGGGTTGATAATACTTGTGTTTCGGACAAGAGCACAATCTCCCAAAAAAACAACTTTGACCATTATTTTCTATTATAATATGTATAAAAGTGTTAATAAATATATGATTTTATTAAATTACTTTTTAAGACTAGTGTATACATGTAGTCACCATATACGAAATACAAATATTTTTAAAATGATTTATAATAAAAGATTCTAAAGTTTGACCTCACCCTTGTCTAAAACGATAAGTATTATCAGTATGGAGGGAGTAAATACTAAATTGATAAGAAGAAAATGTATTAAAGATATTGTTGGTGTTTTCTTCGCCAACATAGACTCACCTAAATATTTACGGTGCTAGCAGAGTCACTAATCACATTGATCTATAAAAGCTCTTGGTCAAGATGGATTTAGAAAACCAGCCTCTAGACTAATTTAGTTTGATTTGGAGATAACTACTCTTCTCGTGAGCGAATTAAAAGATTTACGGGACAAACCTAAGGATTTCACACTCTCAAGCAAAAGCATATGTTTTATGATGCCGATAAAGATGGACGAACCAGAGTACTTGGTAGAAGGTAAAGGTAAAAAATATGATTTAATTGATGTCTTCACAAGCCTTTTGCACGTCATATTAGACTTAGAGATCAATTAGGACTCAACTAACCTTAGGCCTATGCTCGGAAACACGCGAACTGCCTTAATTGGATATTAGACTTAGAGATCAATTAGGACTCAACTAACCTTAGGCCTATGCTAGGAAACACGCGAACTGCCTTGATTGGATTCAGACTCTGGGCCACCGGTCCAACTGGGCCACAAAATAGCGGTTCAACCACAGTTCACCCTCTGGTCCAACCAGCCATGGGAAAGCTCTGTTTGTTACAAATCTAGCCTAAACTTGCTATAAATTTATCCAAATGTCAAATTTGGTTGTAAACAGATATATTTGTCAACAAAATCATGTATTCATTGAAACAAATGTATTTGGACGAAGTATAGAGCAAGTTTATTTGCTATATAGTATTTACTTATTAGGAAATGAAATTGCCATAAGGTTCAAAAATCAAATGGCATGAATCAACAAGGAAAAATATTTTTTACGAGATAATAGGGAAAAATATTGAAACATAATTTGTTATTACATGAGATTTCAATCAAAGTTAGAACATTTGAAGTTCGACAGAATACCTACATAATTTGCAGTTATACCTATGCTGCAGTTCCAAAGCAACAGAAAAATATAATAGTAATTACTACAGCACCATCCAAAACCTTCAACTTTCTTGTGTAAAATATGGTGTCCCCTTTCTTCTTCATCTTTTTTATTTTTTTCACTTCTTCTCACCTCTTTTTTTTTCCTATCTTTTTAACTTGAACCAACAAAAACATGAAACAAAAAGGAGTTGCGACAATAAAAATTGCAACGGGAACTAGCAACACGATGAAAGCGAATGACACAAGATACTAGCAAAGCTTTGGTATTTTGTAGACCATTGGATGGAATCAAAATCAATAAGAACACTCAAATATCTAATGGAAAGAAGCTATATGTGAATGATAAACCTACCATGTCAAAGAAAGACATATGACACAAACTCACTCACCAAGGGGGGGGTCCATATATATCTTCAATTCAGGGCAATAGGTTTGAAGCAAGGAACACCAGCATAAACAGAGCAGCTTAACGGTAACTAGCTGCGTGTAGCAAAATGATAGCTAGCTTTATTCTTACCAAGGTCGATGCGGCCAAGTAGTTAGGGAGAGAATGATTCGAAACATCTTATACTCCAATACAACAATTAAAAAAATCGTAAAACCACAATCCGGATCTACTTCACACATGAACTAGGGGGTCTATGAGAATCCTTCTCATAAGTCCAAAGAATACTCAAGAGCATTGGGGGTAAGACAATACACGGTCTTCAGCAATCTCTCATCCAAGAGTTTTTCACTTGAACAATAGTTCTCTAATAGATGGAGTAGAGGAGTATTTATACTAGAAACATCCCCCTACTAAGGTGTGAACATGAACAACCAAGTTCTGGTGTTTAATGGCAAGATAATGAAGAATGCAAAGAGTTTTCTCTGGTTCGTGCACGACCTTTCAGCTCCTACGCAGTATTCAGTAAAATGATTCTAACTCCTCGGAAAATGCTTTTGAGGTGGGCTTTGTTGTGTTCAAAGCTATAATGACCCTCTTTTGAACAATGTATGCCATGCACCATGTCTCCTGATTGGCTAGGTGGCATAAACCTTAGAGTTTGGCCTTCCCTTCAGTTGTGTAAACAGTCTTCTCTCAAGCGTAATTAGTCGTTGCTAGTGTAGGAGCCCATTTTTGTTAACTGTAATCCTTCTCATCTTGAGCATATGCCATTCTCCTTAGTGTAAATCATAGTAATGCAAATGTGAAGCATTTAGGTAGTATAAACTTCTTACCATTATTTATGTTAAGTTTTATAAAGAGCGAGTTCACCTCCTGTTGTACCTTTCTAGCATGACTGCACCTAATCGATCCATGGTACGGTAAATGTGACCATATTCCCATCGAGCTAGTTTTTGAGGTGTAATTCATCCTCACAGTTTACACCATCTTCGTTTCCCACTTGTGGTGGGTGACGTAAATCATTGTTTTGGTTTACATCATGTTGATTTTCGTGTGCAGTTAGGATATCCTTATCATTTAAGTGTGTATATCTACTTACAGATATAGAGACCATATTTCTCTATCCATCGTGTAATTGTAAGAATGATCTAAACAGGGTGTTCGATGTTCTCCTGAACGAAAAGCTGCGCCATGCTGTGAATTCAGTCGATGGCTTCTTGGTTACTATGGACATGGTGTTCAGGTGCGAAGACGAGGAGTTCGACTCGGGCATCCAGTTGTGGCGTTCACGAGCAGGACGTCTTGTGACGTTCATCCAGGCGGTGGTGTTCGCCATCATACTGTGCCCTCTGGCTGTGCTCTACCTGTCTGGGCTGGTCATCAGCACTAGTCTATCGCTGTGGCGCCTCATACAGCACGACTACGGCGACGGCGACGGCAGCGCCAACCTGACTCCGGCGCTCAATGTGCTCTACTCACTGGCACTCTTCCAGGGCGTCCTCTTCTTCTACCAGTGGGTGTCCTACTTCGCCGGGAAAAGGTTGATCGAAAAGGTGGCCAGTAAATATTGGCAAAACAGTAAGGAGGCTGGCGGGGCGGGGGCGCGGGCGGGGGCGTGGCGCAAATTGGTGAAGGTGTACATGAAGAAGACCAAGATCCGGTGCGAGAAGGATCCATCCTTCCTAGAAGAGTGGAACCTGGTGACGTTTGCCGTGGAGCTGATGAAGCCGGAGTCCAAGTCCAGCGACTACGTGTCCGGGGCGATGATCCTGGACACGATCCTCGGGCAGAAGGACCTGACGGCGCAGCACGCGCTGATCAGGAAGCTGGTCGGCTCGGCGTCCTCCAGGAAGGTGATGAAGAAGCTGCTGCGGTCGCTTCGGTCCGCGAGCCAGTACAACCGGAACATCCGGGTGCACGCCGCCCGGATCGTGTCGCGTCTCGCCGGCGAGATCAGCCTCGCCAGCTTCCCGGAGGCGCTCTCGTGCATATCGTCGCTGCTCGACACCACCACCACGGAGCAGCAGGAACAGCAGCAGCAAGACGGAGACAGTGCGCCGTCCGCTCACTACAGGGATCTCATGGTGCTGGGCCGCGTCATCCTTCAGAAGCTCGCCGCCGCCGACGAGCACAACCTTTTTCTCATCGGCAAAAAGCAGAGCACTATCTCCAAGGCCATGCTGCCCGTCAGAAAAGACCTGCTCCACATCCACAACAACGGCCATGTCGACGCATGGAAGGACATCGTGACCGAGTCACTGCAGCTCATGTCCCAGCTTGTCAGCGCCCCTGGGAAGACCGGCGACGATCTGCGCTCCCACATCTTGACGATTCACAAAGACGACATCAGAGTGAATAACATTATCATCTGTAAGCAATGCCAAAGCAACAAGAAGCTCCACATGCAGGCCATTAACATCTTCACACAGCAACAGCATCCTATGGAAGCACTTTCGACGACGTCTTCGAATATAGACACAACATATAGCGAAACGAACATCAGGCTGCTCGTAGACATCTTCTTGACTAACAAGGACGCCTCCACAAGAAAAATGGCAGTTGGCATACTGGCAATACTGCTGTCCGACCAAAATAAAAGCAATGCCAATGCCAATGCCACCATTATCTTCAAGGCAAGTGACACCGTTGTCCGTGATCTCAAGACAGTGCTTTTAGATGATGAGGAAACAGAATACAGAATATGCGCAGCAGAAATACTCGAGCATCTACACAGGACAAAGGAAGCCTCCTATCTCAAGAAACTGATGGAAGCCATGCAAAATGTGCTACCGAAGGTATGTCCTGCGATCGATAAATTTCAAATAAATGGCGGCATTTGTTTTGTTTGATTTTATTCTTATTTAACTAACCGCATCTTGAATTTTTATCCTTGCCAAATAATAAGCATCAATCCTACCGTTGCAGATTCTCAACGAAATATTTATCTCTCTCTCTCCACCTAAGCAAGGAGAAAAGCAAGCAGAAAAGGCAGAAAAAGGAACAGACGGAACCAAGACAGATCCTGACATTGAAGAAGGTGCTGGTGCCGTTGCTTCGAAAGATAATGTCGACGTCAATGACCAGAAGGAGGACATTGGTAAGAAAAAAAAGGACAGGACGAGGAAACTACATGCAGCTTTACTGTCACTTAGTGTGGCAATATTTGAAAAACGGATCAGAGATGGTAAAGATTTGGATACACTTGCTGGTGAAATTGCCCGAGGAGACTCTGCATCCAGCTTTGTCGGTAAGCTGAGGACGATGGTAGATCAAAACAGTGAACAAACAGTCAATTGCCTGAGAATTCTGAAGATTGCCACTAGGATGATCATATCACTGCTAAAACTTGAAGGATGCTACCCCAAACAAGAGCTGGAGAACTTGATGGTATCTCTGTCCAAAGCTTCCGAACAAATGTTTGAACTGGAAGCGTTGATGATGTTATCTAGCAGCGACCATACCGGAAAGAAGACTGAAAGCTTCGGTTCTCTCGTGAAAGAAGCAGAAGGCCTTATGAAGAATAAGAAGGAAAAAAATGTGGCAACTACACCAGCTAGCACTATGAATGGAAACCAGTAGATTGAGTAGATTATCAACTAATCTGCTGATATTCACAATAAAGAACTTTGGCGTTCCCAGAAAATTGTTTGTCATAAAGATATTCTGTAGGATAAACTCCTTATTCTGTAGCATGTGTGCTGAAATCTAGCTATTTGTCCCATCTACTTATCAAACATTCAAGTAAAAACTCACTATGAAACGGTTGAGATATCATGATGGTTTCTATATTTCCTCGCAGACTCGCAACTAATAACCTATCGAAAATAAACTTTGTCCTAAATCTGGTTGCATATTGCTTCAAGAATCTACTGTCGTTTCTGATGCAGAAACCAAAAGCTTTGCAACCTGTTTAAACAGTGTGATAAGTATTGGAACCTACCGACCCCCTCGTACATACTAGTTACATGTATTGTTGTATTTTTTTTGGGAGACAAATGCATTTAAACTTTTGTATGAAATACCTGCGGTCTATTTTTTTATCTGTAACTTTTTTGCCTTTATATAATTAGATGGATCGGTCGTCATGGATGTATGAGATACGGAGAACGCAGCCGATATTTATTAAGGAAGCATCTAAATTTATTGATCAGGCTAAGGAGCATGCTTTGAGGGAGAATATGACAAAGATCTTTTGTCCGTGTCGTCATTGCAAGAATCAGAAATTGTTGGTAGATCCTGGTGAAATATTGGGTCACATAATGGAGTACGGATTCACCGCCAACTACAAGGTTTGGACCTATCACGGGGAATTCGCCAATCCGGAAGATGACGATGAAGAGTTAAGTTTCGAGATGAATGAGGCAGAGAATTTTATAATCGAAGACATGTCGCGTGAAAGAATGGTTGTCGATGTTTCCACCGATAGTGATGATTTCGATGGTGGTTTTGATTTAGAGGATATGCTACGCCATGTCTCAACCGTTTCATAGTGAGTTTTTCCATGGCGGCAGCGCCGCCGCCGGCAGTGTCGCCGGCGAGAGGGTGACGGTGCTGACCATCGATGGCGGCGGCATCCGGGGGATCATCCCAGGCAAGGTGCTCGAGTTCTTGGAGACCGAGCTCCAGCGGCTGGACGGGCCAGATGCGAGGCTGGCCGACTACTTCGACTACATCGCCGGCACGAGCACCGGCGGGCTGATCACCGCGATGCTCGCCACCCCCAAAGAGGACGGAGACGGGCCGCGGCGGCCGATGTTCGCCGCCGGTGAGATTTGCCCGTTCTACCAGGAGCACGGCCCGCGCATCTTCCCCCAGAGGTGGGGCAAGCTCGCCTCCACCGTCGCCGCGGTGTGGGGGCCCAAGTACGACGGCAGGTACCTCCGCGACATGGTCCGGGAGGTGCTCGGCGAAACGACGGTGGACGGCACGCTCACCAATGTGGTCATCCCCACCTTCGACGTCCGGCTGCTCCAGCCCGTCATCTTCTCCACATACGACGTACGTACGTGCGCGCCGCGCGCGCGAGCGCCATTGATATTCTCATGAAGAGAGATGTGGTTAAATTCTTGGTGCCTGCGTCTATGCAGGCGAAGAACTCGACTCTGAAGAACGCGCGGCTCTCCGACGTCTGCATCGGCACGTCGGCGGCGCCGACGTACCTCCCCGCGCACTACTTCCAGACACACGACGACGCCAGCGGCGAAACGCGCGAGTACAACCTCATCGACGGCGGCGTCGCCGCCAACAATCCTGTATCAGTCACACTCCATCAGAGATTTTCCAATAATCCATAGACGATTCGTCGGATTCGACCAGAGATTTGTTTGCAACGTTTGCTTCGTGTTTGTGCTGCAGACGATGGTAGCCATGACGATGATCACGGAGGAGATGATAGCGGAGGAGAAGGCGCCGCTGCTCCTGACGAAGCCGCCGGAGAAGGAGTGCGGCCGGTTCCTCGTCCTGTCCATCGGCACCGGACTGACCTCCGACGAGGGGCTGTACACGGCGGAGAAATGCTCCCGGTGGGGGGCGCTCGGGTGGCTGCGGCACAGGGGGATGGCGCCCATCATCGACATCTTCATGGCGGGGAGCTCCGACATGGTCGACATCCACGTCGGCGTCAATTTCCAGCTGTTCCACAGCGAGGGGAACTACCTCCGCATCCAGGAGGACCAGGATGACTCGCTCAGGAGCACCGCGGCGGCGCTGGACGAGGCGACGCCGGAGAACATGAGGAAGCTCGTCGGCGTCGGCGAGCGCATGCTGGGGCAGCAGGTGACGAGGGTCAACGTGGAGACCGGGAGGTACGAGAAGGTGCCCGACGAGGGGAGCAACGCCGACGCGCTCGTCAGGATGGCCAGGACGCTCTCCGAGGAGAAGACGGCGAGGCTGCAGCGGCGGATGGACGAAGTGACGGCGGCGGCCAGTGCCACTGGGTTTTAGTGACCGTCATGTCGCCTTGCCGGTGCGGCAGTTTGAAAATGCTATAAGTAGGAATTAATCCTACGTGTCCGACTATGTCACATCCACCAATCGTTGAGCTTAGCTTCTTACCATGCGGGCTCACGCAAGCAGCAGGCAGAAGTTGTGCTTGTGCCTGTACCACTGGTGGAGAAACCCTTTGTAGTCCCGGTTCGTAACCCCCCTTTAGTCCCGGTTTCCAAACCGGGAGTACCAATCCGGAACTAAAGATCGCTATCTTTAGTCCCGGGTGAAATAACCGGGAGTAAAGATCGATCTTTAGTCCCGGTTGGTAACACCAACCGGGACTAAAGATCGAGCTGACCTTTTTTTTTTTTGCATGCCCCTGTTGCTGCATGGTTTATATATATATATATATATATATATATATATATATATATATATATATATATATATATATATATATATATATATAAACCATGCATATATATATGTTTCAATACATATATATGCATACATATATATATGTATATATATATATATATATTATATTATATTATATGTATATACATGCATAATATATATGTATTTATACATATATATGTTATGCAAATGCATATGTATATAGATATATATATGAACAAAATATATTTACATTATAGAAAATGTGTACACATGCATATAGAAACATATGTAGTCATGTATTAATTACAATCCATTATATGTCCTAGCTAGCTACGATTTCGACGTAGTAGCTCAGAAGCTAAGGACCGGTGAATTGTGTTTCCGTCGTAGTAGAATTCACCCTTGGGATCAAGGATTTCTTCGTTGATGAATCCCATGAGTTGTTCTTGAACCGCCGCGATAAATTCTTTGTGTGTGGTCAGGTTATCCCTCATGCGAATAAACTATATGAATGTATGAAATTGATTAGTAATTAAACAAGAAATCGCTACGTAATGAAATTTTGAATTTATTTGTACGTACATCGAGCTCTCTTGTGGTGATGATTTGGTCTGCAAGGCAGTGGCAATACTCGCACACGTAATAGCCGCACAAGTTAGTTCCCTGCTTTTGCTTTGCGCACTACAAATAAATGACAAACAACGAGAGATCTAATTAATATACACTTGTATGTATTTGAATCGGAGAAATATAAATGTAGAGCATGTGTACTCATAGGAAATTTGAACTTCCGCCTAAGTCTTTCTCTCCATTTGCCGCGGACCAAATGACGGAACCGATACCAAGCCCTACATGGAGTTTAAAGCTATGATTCGTAGTAGCAATTAACATAACAAGATTTTCTTAATTAACAAAGGAACTTATGACGGTACCTGTCTATAAGTTCGAAAACCTTGTCAAACGTAGACTCTTTTTTATCCATTGAGTCATATACGTTGACGGTGCAGGCCTCCAGGTCGATGAGTAAAAGCACCCAGTGGAATCTGCAATGTGCGTGGAATGCATTACATATGAAACACTTAGCAAGTTCGTACGGGAATGAAATTTGGTATCTAGGAAGACAGTAAAATTAAACTAACTCTGTGTTGTATGGCAACAGTATGAACGTCTTGTAATGCTGCGCCTTCAGGAGATGGACGAGATTGTCCTCTGTTTCTTGTGGATATTGGTCGAGCATTGCGACGTTTACTTTCCGAGGGTCGATGAATCCAGTATCGAAAACCCTCCGCCGTCGGGCCCTTTGAATCTCCATTCTACAACGATAAAAGGGAGTATATTATTTTCTATGGTCTACTTATATACAAGGACCTAATTAATTAAAGGAGACGTATAGTAAGAAATCTAACTGAACGATATACTTACAAAATCCAGCAACTTATAATAGAGACGTCGAGGGCGTCCAGCTGGTATAGTTCGTAGATTCCCCTGAAATTGATCCAGAGAATGTCATCTCCTTGCAAGAAGTCCGTGTCCCTGATCCTCGCTCCGATCATCTCTCTACCGGTGGCGCTCATCTCCATGTACAGCTGATGGAACTTGTACATTTGTGTGGGTAGGGACTGCAGCAGCTCAGGCTTGACAAGCGGTTTACCGAGTTCGTACATGTATTTCACTTCTGCCTTTTCGATTGGTGCGACTCCTAGCAATTGATCCGTAGTTAGACCGGTGTCAGTAATAAATTGTTCTATCGTCATTTCTTTACCGGTCACCAACGGCTCGATCTCCTGGTTTGGTTGCTCTCCAAGCTGAGGGACTGGTTTGGACTTTCCAGAAGATGCTTTCTTCAGCGTTCGCTCATAGTCCGATAGCTTGATGGCCTCCTTGACAGATGCAGATATACCCCTGAAGAAGTTCCTGACACTGGGGTCTATAGGAATCTTCTTTTCTGGACTTCGAGGCTTGAATTGTCTCTTGACTTCTGATGCAACGTAAGCGTCAAGCTCCTCTTGCGTGCAATCGTACCCCGGGTCCTTGTTCTTGGCGGCGTCAACTTTCGCCTTCTTTGTTGCCCTTGTGTGGGCAAGCGGTGGAGTTGGGGTGGCCCTTGACTTTGAAGGTGCCGGAAGAGGAGCTTGCGGGGGAGTAGGTGTAGGAGCACGAGGAGGAGTCGGTGCAGGATCCTGAGGAGGAGTCGATGCTGGAGCCTGAGGTGGAGACGGTGCTGGCGGAGCATGAGGAGGAGACGGTGCAGGATCCTGAGGAGGAGATGGCGGAGCCGGAGGAGATGGTGCACGAGACGCCGCTTGTCGCCCACCCTGCGCCATAGAATAATGGCATGGCATGTGTCTCGTAGATGCGTCTCACCGTCTCCTCCAGGGTAATCTAGCTCGAGGTCCTCGTACGCGCCTTCGACCAACTCAACTTCGACCTTGGAGTATCCTGCTGGAATCGGCCTGCAGTGGTAAGTACCTGAAGGGTCCGTTGGGATGGCCATGCCCGACGCCACCTTCATGTTGTGAGAGATTATTTATTAGTAATCAACATATATAAGCAGCAACTAGCGGAATGGCTAAATCTTACCTTTATTGATAAGTTCTTGAAAGGAATATGCAGCTCACATGGTGTCCGCTGAGTGATGTCATCAACGGGACAGGTCGATTCGTCCTGTGTTTGTATGGCGTCCATGCTCTGTGATCCTACCTGCCCCGTTGAGGCGCAGCTGCTACGGTTTCCTGACGGGCTCACCATTGCAGGAGGAATGGTCGGCTGGGGATCATGGGACCGATGTGCGGCCATGCGTTCATCAACCTTCCTTGCCACCTCCTCTTGCATGTTGAGTTCGTAGCTCGATACCCGGAACTCTAGGTCTGCAATCTTCGCCTCGGTATCTCTCTTGCTCCTCATCCGACTCCTGTACGTGTGGATGTCCTCCTTGAAACCAATCTTCCAAGGAATCACCCCTTTCCCTTGAGTTCGTCCTGGATGCTCTGGAGTCTGCAGGGCGAGTGTCAGCTCGTCCCTATCTCTGTCTGGTCGGAACGTGCCCTGAGAGGAGGCTTCCACTGCATCTGTTAGTCGTCGCGCAGCCTCTTGTATCTGATAGCCGAAGACCTGTGAGCCATCAGCTGGGTTGAGCGTTCCACCGTGAGCATAGTACCAGAACTTCGATCGTTCCGGCCAATTGGCTGTTGCCGGTTCGATACCCCTCTCAATCAATCTAGCCTCCATCTGCTCCCACTTCGGCATCGCGACGCTATAGCCTCCTGACCCCAAGTGGTGATGGTACTTCTTCTTGGCGGCATTTTCTTTGTTTCTTTCCATCATCGCCTGCCCTTGTTCACCTGTCTTATATGCAACGAACTCGTCCCAGTGATCCCTTAGCTTTGGGAATGTGTCGAAGTTCGGTGTCTGCCCCTTCAGTATATACTTCTGGTATAGATCTCCCTTGAAGCTCTGAAACTGTTCTGCCATTTTCTTCAGAGTCCACCTTTTCACTTTGTCCTCTGTACCCGCAGGAAGGGTGAATGTCTCGAGCATTGTGGTCCACAGCATCTCTTTCTCCGAATCTGGGACAAAGCTCTCATGATCTCCGCGTGCCCTTGTTCTTCGCCAGTACACCGTACTGACAGGCACGTTATCCCGCACAACCCAACCGCTGTGACGTACATAGTTCTTGGCGGCTTCGGCCGGGGCACTAGGACGTCCATCTTCTTCCACTTCCGTTATGATGTGCCGACCCTCAAGCTTCTTCGCTGCACCTCGTTGCCCGCGTGCCCTCTTCTGTTCAACGGAGGGTTGACTACCACTAGCCTCCTCCTCCTGGTTCCCCTCCACATCCCTTTCCACGTGCCCCTGCTGGTTCCCCTCCGCATCCCTCTCCACGTTCCCTTTTTCGTTCAAGTACTGGTTTGGATCCTCGTTCCCCTCTTCTTCATTCCAGTACTGGCTGCTTCCCTCCACGATTGTATCGTACAATATCTGTTCCTCATCGCGGTCAGCCATCTGTTGATACAAGAAACATCTGCTAAGTCACGAGACATTTATGTTTTAACAATCTAAGTCATGTATGCTAAGTGTAAATGTCGTACATTAGAACCCTACACAACCTTACGTGCTCAGTCTAATTACAAATCGTGATATAAGCTAAGTCTAGGGTGACGTATATTATACAACCCTAGCTAGTAAATAATTATATACTAAGTCTAATTACAAATAAAATAATCTTATATTAAAACTCAAATAATATTACATGCTAAGACTAAAATAGTCATGTATATGCTAAGTGTTTCGTGCGTATATGCTAAGTCTAATTAAGACTACAATAGTCAATTGCTACTTGTCGCACCAATTCCGTAGTCAATAATTACATACCAAGTCTAATTACAAATAAAGTAATATTATATTAAAACTCAAATAATATTACATGCTAAGACTAAAATAGTAATGTATGCTAAGTGTTTCGTGCGTATATGCTAAATCTAATTAAGACTACAATAGTCAATTGCTAGGAGTCGCACCAATTCTGTAGTCAATAATGTCAAACTAAGTCTAATTTGCAATAAAATAATCTTATATTAAAACTCAAATAATATTAGAACACTACACAATCTTATATG